ACACACACACACACACACACACACACACACACCACACGCACGCACGCACACACACACACACACCACACACACACACACACCACGTGACACACACACACGCGCGCGCGCGCACACACACACACACACACACACACACACACACACACACACACACACACCACACGCACGCACACACGCACACAACGCGCTCCGACCCGCCCACATGGTTCGGTGCTGACGTCAGCGACGTGTTTGTGGTTGGCGATGGCACCACCTGCGCAGGCGCACACGAATGGCTCGACTGTTGCGCGCCCGCTGCTGTTTGAGTTCCCAGCGACCCGGAGACGTGGGACATCGACCGCCAGTTCCTGATCGGCGGCCACCTCCTCATCTCGCCCGTTCTCGAGCAGGTGCGCGTGTGTCGTGTCGTGTCGTGTTGCATGTGCGTCGTGGCACTCACCAGCAAAGTGGTCGTCGCGACGAGCAGGGCGCTACGTCGGTGCGTGCGTACTTCCCGGGAGAGCTGTGGTACGACTACTTCTCCCACGCGCCGGCCACCAACGGCAAGGCCACCTGGCTCACCCTCCGCGCGCCCCTCGACACCATCCCCGTACGTTGTCGTTGGCTACGCTTCCATTTCCCGCCACTGGAGCCGAGCACGTGCGTGCGCGTTGCACCGTAACGCCTGACGTTCACGTTTTGTGCGCAATCGCGATGGCTGAATGCGCACACAGGTGCACGTGCGCGGCGGCGGAATCATCCCGTGGCAGGCGCCCGAGCTGACCACGACGGCCACGAGGAAGAACCCCTACAGCCTCATCGTCGCGCTCTCCCTCGCCGACACCGCCTCCGGCCTGCTCTACATCGTACGTAGCACAGCACACAGCACACAGCACCACCGTACAGGCGCGCATGTCGTCGCACTAACCGGTCATCGGTGACACCAGGACGACGGCGACAGCATCGATCCGGTCGAGCGCGGTGCGTTCACCCTGATGTCCTACCGTGCGGTGCAGACCCCGACCTATGGCCAACTCGAGTCTATTGCGCTCGCCGACAACTACGTCGACGCTCAGAACGTAAGTCTTCCATATCAGCCCTGTACCTGCTCACAAAGTACGATAACTCATTGTGTGTGTGTGTGTGTGTAGCGCAAGCTCGACTCTGTGAGTGTGATGGGCGTGAAGCTGAAGCCCAACAAGGCGGCGATCAATGGCAAGCACGCCAACTTCAACTGGAACCCGGCCACCCTCAGCCTGGTGTTCACCAGCCTCAATATGCCCGTCAACGCCAACTTCACCCTGGTTTGGAGCTACTCGTGAGTGCCCTCATCTACTCCTTTATTTTTGTGCAAAAACCATTTTCTTTTTCTTCTTCTCCTTCCTCTTCAACATGTTGTTGTGCACATACAGCACATCTCCCTCTTTTCTGTGCGCTCTTCTCTCCATGGAGAGCTGCTCACAATCCACCACAAGAGACAGCCATCAAAGCAAGTTGTGCCGGTTGGCTGCACACGAGTTTTATCTGGCCTTTTCTCTTTCTGTCGACACTGGCCACAACGCGTCATCTCCATTGTGCACGTAAATCGATCGATCTCGTGCAGCCCTGCACCATAACCGCTTGGTGTGCATCGAAGACGAGGCGCCTGCCATCCATGAGGATAAATTAAATCGTTCTCATCCAGATAGACAATCTCCACAAATTGCCGTCTCTACGCGCGAGATTTGCTCCATCTCTCTGCCTTCTCTCTTCACCTCCACACAACGCCACCTTCTTGCAAGTTCGAAGAGGCAGGCCAAAGATTCCAAATCTGCGACTACTCGAACATTTGGCATTCCATTTCCGAATGAGGAAGCGATTCGTGGACGTGGCCTACGCCTTCTTCTTCCAGCACCTGTGGCTCCTCACGGGCCTGTGCCTGCTCACCACCCTCATCGGTGTACTGTGGGGCTGCATACACAATGGGCACCTGCCGCCTGAATTCCCCAGCCCCAGCGACACAGGCGTCTTCCAGCCTGAGGTGCTCTCCTCCTTCCTCTACGCCTTGACCTCCATTAGCCCTCATTCAGATGTCAGAAAATCGATTCCTCTACAAACTCTGATCTGTGATCTTGCTTGTGCCGGCTCAAGGGTGCGTACTTCACGTTCGGACTGTTCTGGTCGATGATCGGCCTGGCGGCTACGATCGGCCGCCACTCGCTCGTGTTCGGGACGTTCCTCTACGACCAGCGCAAGCACTACCGCGCGGCCTCGTCGGCGCACCTCAGCAGCGCGGCCTACGGCGGCGGCGGCAGTAGCGGCGCTGGGAAGCCGGGCTGGCTGGGCGTCGTGGCGGGCCTACTCCTCTCCGAGCGCGATGACGCCAAGCTGCTCAAGATGGGCACCATCATCGGCGTGGCCGGCGCCTGCTTCGGCACCATGGTTGCCGCTTTCGACGTCCGCAAGTACGACACACACACCACACACACACACACGATATCACATTTGACTAACCGTGTGCGTGTGTCGTGCGATAGGCATGTGGTGTTGCATACAATCGGGGCGGCGTGTCTGTTCATCTTCACGAATCTGTACTACTCGATCCTGCTCCGCATCAACCACCTCATCCTGGAGAAGTTCGCCGCCATCCGCGACGCCCGACGCCGCGACGACGACGCCCGGAGCGCCATCAACAACAACCACCACGCTCACGCTCTCTCCGCCACTTCTCCCCCGCTCACCTCCTCCTCCATCGTCGATATCACAACCACCACCGCTCTCACCACCTCATCTTCAACATCATTGTCTTCATCCTCTTCTTCTTCTTCATCGTCATCATCGCCACCTTCGTCGTCGTCGTCATCGTCGTCGTCGAAGGTGGCGTTGGCCGTGAGCCAGGGCCACGGGGCCATCAGCAACCTGACGTGGCTGCGGGTGCTGAGCGTGATGGGCTGCTGGTTCTGCCTGTTCGGGATCATCGGCTTCCGCCTCCAGTTCGTGAGCGAGGGTGGCCACCAGTCGCGCGACAAGGAGCGCGTGGCCTTCCTCATCTTCTGGGCCAACCTCTTCGAGTGGATTTGGCTCGGCCTCGTCCTCCTCTACGGCTTCATCGTCTTTTATTGGGTGCGTACTGTGTGTCGTGTGTCGTGTGTGTCGTGTGTACCGTGTGTGTCGTGTGTCATGTGTGCCGTGTGTTTCGTGTTTGTCGTGCGATGCATGAAACTCACACCGAGCCAGGACTACTACCACTCGCCGGTGACGTCGCCCTACTTTGGCTTCTCGCCGTCGGCCACCTCGAACCGAGCCAATCCGCTCGTGTTCCGCATCCGATGCGAAGTCCAGCGACCGGACGATGTACACATTGTATAACCCATCCACCCACCAACCAGACACCACCTTCCAACCCACCATCATACCTCTCCTTTGCTTCTTTCTCTTCTTTTCTTCTTTTCTTCTTGTTCTTGATGATGATGACGATCAAGGAAGGTGAAGTGAATCAGAGCATGCGAGCCCACACGACTTTAAGGTAGCGACTCTCGGGACAGGAGGCCAAAATCGGGTGGTCCTCTCCCGCGCCTGTCTTGTTCAACACCTGTGTGTGTCGTGTCTCTCGTTGAGATTCTGTGCACCGTGTGCGGTGTGTGTCATGTGTGCGGTGTGTGTGTCGTGTGCGTACCTGCATGCGCCGATTGCGTTTGTGAACGGCGCGGGCGACGACCTCCTCGAAGCCGGTCTCGGAGAGGAGGCCCGAGCAGGAGCACGTCACGAGCAGCCCGCCGGGCGCCACCAGCCCCGCCGCGAGCGCGTTCAGGTCCTCGTACTTGCGCAGCCCGCGCGCCGTCTCCCGCTCGTCGCGCGAGTCGATGAACTTGGGCGGGTCGCACAGCACCACGTCGAACCGCTGGCCGGTGATCTCGAGCTGCCGCGCGTAGACGAACGCGTCGGCGTGCACGAAGCGGAGGGCGTCGGGGCGGTGGCGAAGGGCGTTGGCGGCGGCGTTGCGTCGGGCCTGGGCGATGGCCTGTTCGTCGAGGTCGACTGCGGTGACGTGCTTGGCCCGGCCCGTGGTGGCCGCCGCGATGGCAAACCCGCCCGTGTAGCAGCACAGATCCAAAACGGTTCGATCTGCGCCATTTGCGTTGAATAGGAGTTAAACCACAATCATCGGTTTTAGCTCCGATGTGAGGAGTGTGTAGTGGGCATACCGCGGACCAGCTGCGCGAATCGCTGGCGGTTGTCGCGTTGATCGCAGAAGAAGCCCGTCTTGTGGCCCGACTCGAAGTTCACTTCATACTCCACTGCGTCATATGACCCAACTCAAATCGTGTGACGTACGTACCATCATCATCACCACCAGCTGGAGAGGGGGATCCGCGCTACCTTCATTCTCTTTGACGGTGACGCTGTGCACGGGGCCGCTGCCGTAGCCGGGATCGAGCTCTTCGAAGAGCCCGGCGTCGTCGCTGGCGTCGCCCGCGCGCCGAATGTCGGTGGCGATCCGATGGCGGCGGGTGCCCAGGACCTCGTGCAGCAGCGGGATCCACTCCTTGAGCCGCTGGTACACGCCCACGCTGTGCGCCTGCCCAGGGCGCCGCCCATCAATCGGATATCAGATCAGTGCCGCACAAGCACCTGGTCTGGGGTCAAAGCTGCGGCTTTACCTCGATGCTGAGCACGTCGGCGTACTTGTCGACGATGAGTCCGCTGAGCCCATCGCCATCCGAGTTGATCACACGAAACGCGTCCGTGCGCTCTGGCAGTCGGAGCACCTGCCACCACAGCAGAGAGTGAGCAAGCACGACACGACACACGACACACGACACACGACACACGACACACGACACACGACACACGACACGCATGACACGCACCTTTGTTCGTAGGTCGACTGCGCTTTGGACGAGCTGCGTGAGGCCGGCCTCGCCGAATTCGTGATCGGCGTCGTCTCCTTCGAGCTGGTCGTGGTGGTGGTGATGGTGGTGGTAGACGCGTAGGGGCATCTTGGCCAAGGGGTCGTAGAGGCCGCGCCCGAAGTACTCGCCCCGCTTGGTGTAGACGTGGACGAGGTCGCCTACGCCTGCATCGGGCGAGGCGTCGTGCAGCATCGAGCTGAACACGCATGGGTTGTGGGACGTGGCGTACTTGAGCCGCACCCACGGCTTCCGAAAGGCGTCGGTGTTGATTGCCCAGGACGACCTAGCGCTTGCAGATGAGGAGGAGGAGGAGGAGGAGGATCGAGATGCCGTTCTACTCGCAGGCTTGAAGGTCTTGCCTGTGTTGGGCCGCGGTGTAGCGTAAGATGACGATGATACAGCATGAGGCGTGTATGTAGAGCGAGGGGAGAGATTGGGCCTTGATGATCTACGCGAGGAATGCTGCTCTGCAGGCTGAGGGCTGCGCCTGGTGTCTGAGTCCCATTTGTAGGTTTTCGCGCCATTTTTCTCGTGATTGGAATCGCGATTCGAGTAGAAGGATCGCTGAAATCGGCTCAACGAGACGGAAGAAGAGGAGGAAGGTGTGAGACGTATCGTTGGCAGGAGGTTCGAACCCATTGGGCCGCCGGCTCCTGCCTGCCGCAAGCCGCATCGTCGCAGATTCATCTTGTTGTCGGGAAAGAAGGAAAGAAAGTCAAAAAAGAAACAAAACAGAGAAGATGGAAGCTACCACGTTCGCGACCTTCTCTGATTCGCCCTCGCTCGAAGCCCTTTGCACTTTGCTCCAACTGCCACAAGACAGGTGCGTCCATTGGAGACCTCGCCCCCACACCAAGATTCGATCTTTTACTTTTTTCTTCTACTTTCTCTGCACCCTGGCCAAGGGTGGTGTGCGCCTACCAGTTCGGGTCTCGTGTGTGGCAGACTGCCGATGCCACCTCAGGTCGACCACCTCACAGCTTCAGCCATAACTACCGTTCCGTTATTATCAAGCTAATAGTGTAGGGCCAACCCATCACAGACTGGGACTACCGGCTGGTCATTGACGGCTGGCAAGGTCCCGAGCACCTCGACGACCGCTGCCCCTTCATCGATGCCTGGTATTGATTCCCTCCATCACCATTGCATTGATTGGAGCCTCCATCCGCCTCACACCAGGCACTCTTCGACCACCACCAGCGCGTACAGCCCTGACGAGTGGTGGCGCATGATGCACGTACATCTGCTCCTTGGCAAGGCCACACTCGACCCATGCAGCTGCTCACCAGCGCAGCAAACGTGTGTGTCGTGGTGGCTGGTGGTGGTGGCGTGGTGGTGTAGGAACACGACATGCTCACGCTGCTGTGCCTCTATCTGCCGCCGCGCCACGTGCTCAAGGAAGACGTTAAGTGGACCGGACCTCAACTCAGCCGCGGCTGCTGGCGCCTGTCGCTCAAAAAGCTCGTGCGCGGCGTCATCAAGGAGCGGAACAAGGCCTGGGACAAAGCCAAGAGGTTTCTCCCCGCCTGCTCCCCTCAGCCTTTCCACTACAAACCTAACAAGACACGCACCACGCAACGCACATGGCCAACGACACGACACGCACGGCAGGCTCTACTCAGAGTACGAGGCGGGAGTGGAGAGGCAGGAGGCGGGCAAGGGCCAGGGCGGTCTGCGGATGGTGAAGAAGAACCTGGCCCACGGCATCCGCTACTCTGGTGCTGGGTCGCGCCCTGGCCGAGCGGGGCGCCATCGACGACTTTGCCGCCGCCAACCACTACTACCACCAGCTGATGGCCCACCGTGGTGACCTCGACCGCAGCGACAACGACGACAAGTCGGAGGCGGTGGGGTGGGATCGGTGGGAAGCGCGGTACCGGCCCATCTACCAGCAGCTCGAGCGACAGTTCAGGGAGTTGGTCGAATCAGAGATCGGCGCGGCCGTCGCCCAACAGCTACGATGCGAAGAGGCGTGTCGACAACAACAGCGACAACGGCCCGCGGTGGTTGAGTACCTCCGAGAGAGCGTTGCAGCGCAACAGGCGGCCGCGGGGTCAACTGGTATATGCGACTCCGATGCGGCGCTCGAATCAGCGTTGGGCGCGCTAACGCGAGCCTTTGCCATACAAGTCACACGCCACCGGCAGTACTCTTGGTATGCGTCTCGTGCGTTGTGTGTGTCGTGTCGTGTGTCGTGTTGATGCAACATGCTGTGAAGAGGGCTGATAATAGCAGCCAATGCTGCACAGCTTGTACCACTTTCGGTACGACAGGGAGGACTCGCCGCTGTCACTTCAGCTCACGCGCGAGTGCAACGGTATTATTCTGGAGATCGGCCGCGTCGTTGCTGCTGCCCATGATGATGATAATGGTACACTACGCCCCGGCCAGCATCAAATTGTTGGTTGTTTTGTGTGCACAGCCTGTCAACAAAGTGCGTTTGCAGATGGACTACGGATCGAGGTGGCGTGCAGGCCGCCACTACGTAGCTATAACGCAAGCCGGCGCTTCAAGGAACCCACTGATGAGGTCCTCCAACGACTGGATTGGTCGCGCGTTCAGGTTACACACCACACACACACACACACACACCACACGACTCACCAGACCAGACTCTGCAGGTCCACGATCTGCTGCAGGGCTCCACCATCTTTCTCTATCGTGGCGACGCAGAGTGGCTGATCTCAACACCGCGCAGCGTTGACGCCGAGCTGGAGTGGTCGGGAGTGACCACAACTCGGCCATCGCTGGCGCAGCAGTTCTGGCGCGCGTGGCAGCGGCACGGCTGCCAGCTGCCCGACGACCTGAGCGAACGGCGCACCTTCGCCTTCAAGCTGTGGCGACGAACCAACGATTCTTCTTCTTCTGATCCCGGCGGCGAACACGGCGAACTCATGTTCGTAGGCGTGAGCGACGCTGACGATGACTCTGCGGTCGAGCTGGCGGAGCGGCACGGGTGGCCGTACATGGCCACGCTTCGGCCGGACTTGACGCCCGACGTCGCCACGAGCGACAGCGGCGCGGCAGAGAGTCTGCTGAGGCGACTGCGGCGCGAGCTGATGGCATTGGACCCGTGGCGAGAACCGCGCAAGGGGCTGGTCGTGAGCTCGAGCCACGAAGAAGCCGATATACGGGTCAAGTTCGTGTCGCCCCAGCACGCCGTGCTGAAGCGACTCCGTCGATACGGCCACGAGATGCCAGAGGACAGCGTTGAGCTCGACGCGATGATGCTCGACATGGTGCGGACCAACGACTGCCACGAGGACCTGCTGGACGCCTTCCCTCACCTGCGCGCTCGCTATCTGGAAGTGGCCGACGACTACCATCAGGTGCGATCGATCGACCGTGTGGCGTGATGTGGACGGACCCAATTGTGTGTGTGTGTTCGTGTGTTCGTGTGTTCGTGTCCAGGTGTGCGGCCAGGTCCAGGCTGCGTTCGACGCGATCGCCAGTGTCGCACAGG